TTTAATACGAGGGATAATGAGCGTTATGTGGGCCCGTACCCAGATCCCTCCTTCTACGGCTATGAGCACATGTCTGAAAGCGATAAGGTGCGATTCATGGAATGGTACCAGGTTGCCTCACAGAATCCCTTTGATTTTCAGGCTGAACTCAGGCGTTACTGTGTTAACGATGTTGATGTCCTGCGTAAAGCATGCAGCATTTATCGTGACACGCTACTGGGTTGTACACAAGTTGATCCATTCACGTATACCACCTTGGCTGCATTTAGTATGGGTGTGTATAAAACGCTGTTTCTGCCTAGAGACGCGCTCGCTCTCACGGGGCATACGTTGAGCAGAACAAGACGTTTTCTAACGTCACTGTCTGAAGACCGTGGTTTTTTAAAACACACACCAAAAAAGAACACCCCTGGTGGACCGCTGCGACATAGTACACTAAAAAAAAATAAAGAATAAAAAAAACAAATTAAAGGGGGTCCTGTAGAGTGGTTGGATTTTTGAATTCAGGTTTTTTTCTTATTGCAGAAATTGTTCTTCTGCTAAAAATATTTGCTGTTTGGTGTTTTTCAACTGTTATGTTTTTTTTTCACTTATTGCTGCTAAATTGTTTTGTTTTATTTTCTTTTATTACTGTTAAATATTTTATGTCTTTTATTACTGGTTAATGTTTGATGTCTTTTATTTATGTTTAAACAAAGTATGTTATGAATCTATATATGTATATATATATATACGAGATTTGATAATAAATACCATTGACTCGATTAAATCATGCTCTCATGTTGTTTTTATTATTATTCTCATTAGTACATATCAGTATCCACATTGCACACACACATAATCACTGCATACAGCAACAGGTTGTATGTTGTTGACAAATCGACACACCATAGCATCATTACAAATTAAATTAGACCCATACATGTTAAGCAGGCGGGCATAAGATACACCATTTTGCATATGATATTAAAAAAAATACACAATGTTGACCGCATGTGATGGAGAAGTCCTTCTGCACTTGTTTTCCTGAATATAAAACAGTGGAACAGTTTTTTAGAAGAAACATCTTTATTGCTGGGGGGAAACTGTCTAACGAGTGAACAAAACTATCAAAAAAATAACCGCGTCTGTCTCTCGAAATATAAACAGCAAGCCAATGTTCCCCTGGCATCGTAGAAGGGTGGGTGTTTACAATACCCATAGCTGGGAGTCTTTGAAGCCGTTCAGTGGTTAGCTGATCATAGGCTAACACGCCTAGGAAATGTGTGTTTTTATTGATAATGCCGCCGACCACGGCTGATAGTTCTATAGTGTTCATGACCGTTTTTGTCTCAATAGTAGTCCAAGAGCACCTGTCTCATGTTAGATATTTCAATGACTGAATCAAATACAGAATAACACAAGAGGTTCACTGTACGGGGTAGTGGATTTCTGAAACGGGTTTCCAATCTCACGTTCCCAGTTTTAATTAACGACACATTCCCTGAATGTCCTTTGTCAGCTTCCAGATTGAAACAGAATAAAGTGTAGCCGTTACCAAAGTCGTCACGTGTTATGGCCAAGGATCTGTCCTTTAAATGTCTTCCTGTGGTTTGTATCAGCTGGTAAAATTCTCTGATATAGTGTCTGTGAAGGTTCTCAGTCATCCAGGTCATCGTAGTCAAAGGAGCTTGCAAAGAAAAGCGTCTGGACTTCTTTAAGTTACTTGAAGACGTTTCACCTCTCATCCGAGAAGCTTCTTCAGTTCTAAGGTCAAATGGTGGAGAGTCCCAGATATAAACCTAGTGGGAGTGACCCCCCACAGAAGGACAAAAGGACCCCCTGATGATCCTCTAATCGCCTGAGACAAGGTGTGAAACTGGGTGTGGGTCCCAATCAGCCAGAGTTTCGGGTGGGTTCATTGTGAAACCTGGCCCCACCTTATCATGCGAATTCCTGTGGTCAGATGGCCCAGGATGTGAGTGGGCGTTAAGGCGTCTGGGAAGGGATCTCAAAACTGGATTATAGATGGCAGAGAGTTTGTTAGGTATTTTAGTACCATGGTAGCATTTACTGGATATTGTTTTATAGTGACATTATGCAGGAAAACTCTGTCATTCAATAAGGCCCATTTGTTTTAGTTATTTTTCTCTTTGACCCAAGAATTGATGTGTGAGAATCACAGGCTGGTACAAGGTTGAAATACCACAGAGATCACTCCCTCAGCTACATTAGTTTCTTAATCTTTTAGACGCCTGTTGAAGGCCAAATGGTTTGTTTCAGATTTCACTAATAAAAGAACTCTTCGTTTTGTGCCTTGAAAATATGTCGCTGAGATAATCACAATTGTAGCTGAACTGTGATAAACTACACAAAGGATGCTTCTTCACCCAAGGGCAGGAAGACGCTCCCTTATCTTGGTCTGTACTGGTTTAAACTGATAATCTGCTGTCTCATGAATTTTACCCTCTATATAAACTGTTGTACTTGTGAATAAAGTTGAGTCAATTTGGGAAGACAACCTGAAGCAGTCTCTGTTTTCTTGTTCTCCCAAGCTGCTCCCGAGCTCGTACTAACACGCTGAATGGCATGCTTGAATATTACTTGAGAATATATTTGACTGTGTTACAGACTAAGGGACATTCTCTGCTGATAGGTGAAGGGACATTCTCTGCTGATAGACGTCCACGCCTCGAAGGAAGTCGATCCACAGATTAGGCCTTGGAAGCCGTTTCCTTCAGAGTTGGTGTCGTAAACCCCCGCCTCTGTTCAAAGATGGTCGCTCACAGTGGACATAGATGGCTTCTTTCACTCCTCTTTCAAACCATCTGTCCTCTCTGTCCAAAATGTGAACATTAGCATCCTCGAAAGAGTGTCCTCTATCCTTAAGATGCAGATGGACTGCTGAGTCTTGTCCTGTGGAGGTGGCTCTTCTGTGTTGTGCCATGCGCTTGTGAAGTGGCTGTTTGGTCTCTCCAATGTAGAGGTCTGAGCATTCCTCGCTGCACTGTACAGCATACACCACATTGTTGAGTCTGTGTTTTGGTATTTTATCTTTCGGGTGAACCAGTTTTTGTCTGAGCGTGTTGCTGGGTCTGAAATGCACTGGGATGTCATGCTTGGAGAAAACTCTCCTGAGTTTTTCTGATACACCGGCTACATAGGGGATGACAAAGTTGTTGCGTCTGTCCTTCTTATCCTCCTTCGCTGGTGTCTGGTCTTCTTTTCTGTGCCTCTTTGCTGACTTTAAGAACTTTTTTCCTTCAGGCTTAGAGGGAACATGTTCTGCTCGGTGGTGTAGGGTCCTAATTACTCCAAGTTTGTGTTCCAGAGGGTGATGGGAGTCAAAGAGGAGGTACTGGTCCGTGTGTGTGGGCTTCCGGTAAACTTCAGTGTTGAGTTTGCCGTTCTCGTCAATGTGCACAGCGCAGGAAAGGCAAACAGTTGTCCTTTGTGTCTTCCTGGTGAACTTGATGTTTTTATCCACAGCGTTAATGTGCGTAGTGAAGGATTCCACTTCTTGTGTCTTGATTTTGACCCAGGTGTCGTCTACATATCTGTACCAGTGGCTGGGTACTCTTCCTTTGAAAGAGCCAAGAGACTTCCTTTCCACTTCCTCCATGTAAAGGTCCATGTAAAAACCCTTGTTGTATTTAAATGTGTGGTGGTGAGTCAGAGGTCTAACAGAGTGCTAACAGTCTGATCGGGGGTGATCGCTTCTCTCTTCTTGTAGGCGTTTTACCAAACCAAATCAAAGCAACTAATACTGAGTCTCCCTGTTAATGTTGATCAAACAGTGTCATGAGAAATGTTCATCAGCACCATCATTAAAACTGACCAGTACTGTCTTGTGACATCACAGCTATCGGACTCAAAAACAGGTCATTGGCAGCTAAAGTCATATAACATACTGCCAAGAGATGAAAATACTGAAAAATGGTGAAAGCAAAGTTTTCAGCCATGAGATTATTGTTTATGCAATTTTAGGAAAAGATCCTAATTTAAAAAAAAGTCTATGCTACTGGGGATGGTAATACTGTTATTAAAAATATGATTAAAAACATAAAAACCGCTTGTCCACATTTTTTTAAGTTTATTTTAATCAGAATATGAATAGTGTAAAATTTGAGCACTTGAGAATCTCTCAAGTCTTGAATGTTTGAATTCAGTGATGCCACGTTAAAAAATACAGATATTCAGTAAGATACAGTTTTTTTTCATAGGTGTTTTTTAACTAGACAGAATGACCAGTTGGCACAGATGCAAAGGAAATGTGCAGCTGAACACGTTACATATTTTGGGCTGGTTAATGAACAGCCTCCAATTATCTGCATCATACTCAAAATTCATTGCAAACCACAAGATCTTCAACATCAGTGCAATAAACAAAGTTATGATCGGTTTAATAGAATAGAACAAGATCCTCCTCACAATACATATTAATAAAAAAACTGTGTTCACTGAGGCAGGAAGTGCTCGTCACAGAGCCTACACCTAAATAACTCAAATGCTTCTTTTGTCAGATCCAAGTCTCACAGTCTCATATAAGTCATTTAACTCTGACGAGTGAACTCGAAATTTCAAGTTAGCCCTGGCAGTCAGGAAGTGCTGTGAAGTTACGTAATGTCCTTGTCACTCTTGAAGCAGAAGCGGAAGAAATTACATAATTCAAGACTGGCAATGCTCACTAGAAATTTTAACTTATTTTACTAACTCAAAATTTTAACTTAACATCAATTTTTTTTCTTAAATTTCTACTTGTTAACTTGAAATGTTGAGTTATTCTTGGAGTTACTCTTTTGTTTCCAGTAGCAGAAACCAGCTTCCACAGAATGTTTCAGACTGGTGTCATTGGAAGGTCAGGGTAACTGATTCATGACGTACAAACTGTGTTTGTAACTCCACCCACAGCATTTTTCCAAACCCAAGCTCTTTCCCATCTTCTTAGAGCCAATAATGTAAACTACACAACGTGTGTCACTGACATCATTAGAAGCATTAATGGTTTTTATATCAATGACTTTGTCCTTGTGTCAACTCAGAAGACAGTAGGTTGTTTTTCTGACATCCAAAAAGATTTATTATTGTTAACAAACAAACAAACAAATAAAAAATAAATCCAGGATTGATCTCCTGAAACACTAAAATGTTTAAAGAATAAAAACTGAAAAGATTTAGAATTTAAAATTGTATGATTTACAAAAAAAACCCCAACTATTTCCAGCACTATACAAAAGTCTTGGGTCAATCGTCACTTTTTAATATTTTGCTAGGAAAACGGGAAATAGGTTTAATCAATAGCTGCACCTAATTTACATGGAAAAACAGTACATGAGGCAAAACCAGGGTTTGTACAATTCTGCTGGCCATCTCTATTCTTCAACACAACAAATGGCACTCTCTTAAGTGCCATTTGTTGTACTTCCTTTAAATAGTCTTCAGGTCTACAGTTTTCCAAGCATCTTAAAGGAGGTAGATGATCTGCAGACTCTTTCAACATTCTCTCCTGTGTTCCTGTTGGTGTCCATATAATCCCACACTACCTCAACGATGTTGAGATTCCAGACTCTCGGAAGGCTAATCCATGACTTCAGTCTATTCAACGATGATTTTACTGCGTTGGTTAGGAATGATTTCCAAACTACAGAATGAAGCTGTTGCCAACAAGATGTTTTCTAGATGGTACAGCATGACAGATAATATCTGACAGTACATTTATGCTTTCTCTTATGCTCCAATCCCAGTTTATAGTCAGTACCATTTGGTCTCCAGCTAGTCAGCTGCCACTAAGAGCTTACATAAAGAAAAATACAGCAGACAAAATGAACAGCGCAACACAAAATTCTGTCTGGCAGCCCCAAACCACAACAGAGGCTCCTCCAGGTTTTCAGGACTGTACTGGCAGTTGCTCTGCTCCTGTAGAAACAGGAGGCAAACTGACATGCTTCATATGACACAAGCTACCGTTTTTGATACTATACAAGATACTGTTGCTTTTTGTGTGTGTGACCTTTTGCAGGTGAAAGTCACAACTTTCAGATGTACCGTTTCAGCTTCGTGACTTCTTTTGTCCACTGATCCAGTTTTTTTTCAGGACCCAACAATATTTGATCACCAACTCTTTGGGAATCATCCGGTAATTGTTAAAAATACGAGAACGTCTTTAGAACTGTTCGTACTTGTCACTCATATAACTCATTTACTGCATTCAAACTATTTTCAGAAAACTTGACCTCTGACCTTGAGGCGGCTGATCCCATAACACACTCATGCAGTGTACACATAACAAACTGAGAGTAGGAGTGTTTGTAATTGACTGACTCTGTGGTGCACAGATTACACTGGGGTCAAACTGGCTTGTAGGGGATCAAAAACGCACAAATTAATTAAATTAAATCAACTTCAAGTAACTGTAATGTTTCCGAGTTTTTTGAGATTCTGTCTCTCTCCATCAAACTGAAATTATTATAAAGAACTATTAGACTACAGAAGTAAAGGACTATTCATTTCATAAAAATTCAACAGGGGATTGAATAATTATTTCTCCCATCAAAGTCACATCAAAGTAGTAAGCAAGTGCACTTTAGAAAGTTACATGAATAAGATATTTTATAAGGCTTTATATTCTGTACTTTCAGTGATGTCACAGAGGCTTAAAGGCACATGGGAAAAGGAGTTAGGTATAGCAATTGATGATGAAGAGTGGAAAGATGTCTGGAGTTATGCCAAATCAATCTCAGTTTGTAATCGTACCAAAGCAATAGTTAAAAATCATACACAGAATGCATATATCCATATTTCGCAGACATCAGTATAATCCTACCCTTTCACCCATGTGCCTCAAATGCAAGACAGAAATTGGTACCCTAACTCACAGCTTCTGGTCATGTTTGAAATTGCAAGAATATTGGTCTAATGTGTTATCTCAAATGGAGAAGATTTTCGGTTGTGAATTGGAGATGGACCCTCTGTCTCTTATACTGGGCCTTCCCAGCCGGCGATTAATATCCAAGAATAATAGGAGATTGTACTGTGTTCTCACCGATGCGGCAAAGAAGAATATAATACTCCAATGGATTTAGGTTGGCAATGAGTAGTGTTGGATCTAGTGCCATTGGAATATCTTTACATGTGTATTGCACTCAAAAACAGATCATTTCTTTAAGGTGTGGGAACCATACTTGAATTATGTGGAATCTGATGTTTCTAATATTATGTTACAAGGATTCTCTTGAGTGTTCAAACTGCAACGTAATACTGGGACCACAGGTATTGTACTGTATTGTATTTTCTCTTTATTTATTTATTTTTTAGATGGAACTGAGCTGTCGTTCTGTGCTTAGTTATCAGTCTGTTTTTTTTGTTTTGTTTATTTGTTTTGTTTATTTATTTATTTATTTTTGGTTCTGAATTGTACACTTTATTATGTTATGTAATTATGTACTGTTTGTGAAAACAGAAAAACTAATTAAAAAAAAAAAAAAGAAAGTTACATGAATAAGATCCAGCCTGGGATGTTCACTAGTGACCAGCTGTCGATTTTAAACGAGTGAACAGTGTTTCCCTGTTTCCACGTGTCAGGACGTACCTGTTCACAGTTGTCTATTTAAATGAAATATGAAGTAAACACAAAGATAAAGTTAGAGACCCACAGGCATTCAGATTTCAGGGAAGCAAACAGCATCAAACACGGTGCGTCTCAGAAAGAAACATCGAATTAAAGAGCTTAATTAGGTTTGAGACAAAGATCCCTCTATGTGACCTAAAACAAACGATATTAAATAAATATTTCATTATGTATTTCATTTCAATGATAAAAAAATTTCAGTATATGCCTGGTTTATGCCGCTGGCACGCTCGTCTTACAGCAACGGTGGCTCAGAGTTATGACGTTTTATTATTTAAACTGCTGAAAAAAATCTGTTTTTTCTCTGGAATTATTGACTTTATCATCATGTTGGAAAACAAAACTGTGAAACTTTGAAAAGCATCTTCAGTGTGGAACGTTGCTTCATGTCTACTCTGTACCAACAAATAGCATCTCCTGTCTTCATGCAGTGTCCCTCCTACTGTCCTATATTCTTGTATTGTGCGCTGCTGTACTGCTGGCCTGGTGAAATATTTATCCTCTTTGCGTTCAGCTCTGCAGCAAATCCTCGTGCCTTTTGATAAAAGAAGAGCGAGCGCTCCCGGTCTATTATGAAGTTGTGGTAGATGGTGGCGAGTTGGGTGCACAGCTGCAACTGAGACTTTTTGTTGCCCAGATCCATGGCTGCAGCGAGAGCTAAGTGGTAGTATCCAGCAGCATCAAAAGGGTCCTGTCGAGGCAGGATTTCAGTTTAGGCATATCGCAGATCACTATGTTCATCAGATTCACATTTTATTGTTTAAAATACAGAAAACAACCCACATCTATGACCCAGTCCATTACCTTCAGATCAGTGAATATAATGTCTCCCAGTGTTTGGTACAGCCTCACATAATACAGTGGCTCCTCATCGAACTGCAGAGGTGTTGGGCAGAGGGTCAGGGTCTTCAGGTAATAGTGCTCAGCCAGTTCACACTGTTTCAGACAGTGGTACAGTGAGCCCAGACGGTGGCACGCCACTCGCTCATTCAGACGCTCACCTACATGTACACAGTTCATTTGGTTTTAGCACAGGACCTAATGTCAGCATGTAAGCCAGTGATACGTTTTCATAGGAGCAAACTTTGGAGTCTAATCATACGTGCTGTTCACAGCTGTCATGATTTATTATCATTTGTCATTACACACCCCAAAATTACTAAAACCAAAAGAAGACATTATAATTTTATCGTCATTATATTAATAGAGATTAATAAGAAAAAAATACTGCAAACACCAAGTAAATTACATTAAAAATGAAAATGTTTGTTTGACTGTTAGGATGTTCTCTGTATTATTTTAACGTCTTTATCTCACAATTCAAAGTACCTTGAGGCGCCTCAGGTCATACAGGAGATAATGAAAATACTAGACAAACTAATGTTTAGAAGAAGTTAATGTTGAAAAGGAAAATGCAATCGTTGAAGGCAGCTTATCTAAAATAACAGCTGATACTGTTGTGGGCAGTGCAAAGCAGCTTAACTGGATTCAGGCTCTGGGATTTGTGGATGCACAAAGCACCACAAAAAAGCTACAAAACAAAGTTAGCAAATAACCTACTAACACTCTTGCTTTGAGTGGCAATAGACAGGAACAGAAAACACTAGTAAGCAATAATTGTGTGCTAAGGAAACCCTTGGTTGAGTGTCTATTCGAAGTTACCTGCAGGACAAATGGAAGCCCCTTACATATGTACAGTTTGTAAAACTGTTAATGTTACCGCTCCGACATGCCATTAATGCTTCCATAGTTTAGCATGTAGTCACCTGACAACACACCTATTATCCAAAGGGTTTTTAAAAATGGTTAATTTATGTTCTGTGTTATGTAGGTTAGCAATCAGTGACAGTACAGGTACACACTGGGTACTACCAACAACTCCTAAACCTGAATATTTTAAGTCAGCATCAGCACCTGACGAGCCTGAAAAAAGGGGACTGGGTGAAGCTGCATCTTTAAAGTGCTTTTAATTATAGTAGCAATAGTTTTGAAAAGTACAGAGAATACACTTTGGTCCAGTGCTGACACACTTCATGAAAGACAAAAGATGGAAACGACTTTGGTCTGTGCTGTTTTGCTTACCCAGACTCTTACTGATGTCAGCTGCAATGTGAGCAAACTCCACTGCTTCCCCGTACAGCTTGAGACAGAACATCACTTCAGTGAGCTTATTGCACAACCTCAGTCTACTGTGAATGCTGTTGCTCTTCACTGCGATTGGCAGAGCACGGTCCTACATGCAATGAACATAAAAATACAGCCATTTAATTATGATAATTACAGTGTTGAGCTTTTATTAGTTTGCACCAATTTTGGAGAAATTACAGTAATATCATCATAGCACAATAATGCTGAAAAAGTTTTAACAAACATGGATAAATAATCTAATCCTACATAAGAATGACTGAAATCACATTATTCTAAAGCACCCTGTAGAAGAGGACAGCCTTGTCCCTGTCCCGGCAGCTGTCGAAGAAAATGTCTCCTGCAGTTTCAAGAAGCTTCAAGATAAAGCTTGTGTCTCCTGTGCTCAAAGCTACATCCTGAGCTGCCTGAAAACACCAGAAATACAGGATTTCAGTGTATGATAAACAAATTTCATTTTGGCCAAAGCCAAAATCGCTAAAATTGTGAAGACTGCTCTTTCATCCACACATTTTCTTTGCTGATTATCTGACTTAAGAGTTGTGGTAAGTGGAGTAATTCTTTTATAATACTTTTCTACTCTGCGCAGACCCAGGACACACTGGTGAGATTACATCTCTTTATTGGCCTGGGATGCCTCAGTGTGTCCCTGATAAACTGGAGGAAGTGACTGGGGAGTTGGCTGTTGTCCCCATAACCTGACCCAGAATAAGTGGAAGAAGACGAATGGATGGATTGAATTTGAGAGATATTCATGATGGCTGACATAGTTTTCAATGTAAACTTGCAATTCTGAGAATAATAAAAGTTTAAGACAATACAAATGAAAACACTGGTATCAGACCTGAACATAAATGTCCACCAGTTCAATCTGGCCCAGCAGCTGGTAGATCTTCCCGGCTTGTAGCCAGCCATATGCTTCCTTCTCCTTGCAGCCCAGGTCAATGAAAATACCCAGACTGGTCTTGGTGTAGTCAAGAGCAGCTCGGTACGCCCTGAAACAATTCAAAGATAACTTTAAAGGTCTACAGTGGTCCCAGTGTTAATTTGATTCCATTCAATTTCATTTACCCTTCACAACAGCAGTTGCCTCAAAGCACCTTACACTATAAGGTAAACCCTACAATATTAGAAAAAAATCATCACAATCATACAGCCACCTATGAGCAAACACTTCGTGACAGTGGGAAAAAACTATTTTTATATACTCTTCCTATCTGACAATCACATGCATTCATATTCTGATGGATCCATCAGAGAGCAACTTGAGCAACTCGGCAAACAAACCAGCAACCTTCTGATTAGTAGGTGACCTGCTCTAGCACCTGAGTTATAGCTACCACAGGTTAAGTATACGCTAAATGGCAGGGGAACATGATGAAAACAGCCCCACCAAGGCTGGAGATGGAGCAACACTGGAAGATCACATGAAAGGAGGAAACAAGACATAACAATGCTAAATGGCTAGTGTAGCTAATAGCAGACCACAGCAACCTCCCTGAACAGGATCCAGTAACCATCACAGTGGCAGACATCCAAAACAGAGTCTCAAGCATGAAGAGTTGGACAGCATCAGAGCCTGACATGACACAAGCCTACTGGCTAAAGAAGCTAACTGTACTCCATGAGTGCTTGGTAGCACAAATGAACCAGTTGCTAACGAATGAGACACACCCAAAATGGCTAACTGAAGGCTGGACAGTCCTGCTCCCGGTAGATAGTTGCAGATTGTAAGATCAGACTGACCAACCTGTGCACTACCTGGATTGACTACAAGAAAGTCTGGTCATGGGATGCCTCACACATGGATCCTTGAATGTGTAGAACTATACAAGATCAACCAAGAGCCTTCATCAGGAATTCAATGGGGATGTGGCGAACAACACTAGATGCTAACTTCAAGCCAACTCATACAGTCATACAAACTGGCGATGGCTAACCAACCAAATATAGTAGTGGTGGAGAAGCAGAATAAGACAACCATGGTCCCCGTGGTCAACGGAGAACTCGGGGCAGTGACCCCCTAAGCTAGGTGAGTGGCTCCAGCAGATTCCAGGAATGACATCAGAGATCTCTGTCCAGAAGAGCGCAGTCTTAGGAATGGCTAAGATACTGCACAGTACCCTCAAGCTCCCAGACCTCTGGCAGAGGACCCGAGCTTGAAGGATAAAAGAGGAGCAAGCGGTGTGAAATTATAATGTGTATAGATCCCTTTGAGTTCTGTAGAATGGAAAAGCTAAACAAAAATATCCGAAACCAGCACTGGGCAAAACACATTTAGCACTGTGAAAGTAACATGACAGGAGTGTTTAAAATTCTTCTCCTCAAATGGAAGGTCTGGAATAATCAGGCCTCGTCTTATCATAAAGACCTCAATAGAGTACTTCGCTCTCAAACTGCCGGAGCCTTCAGCTTTCAGTCCCGATCTGATCTAAACCACAGAACACTGCACTTTGCTGCATAAAAGGTAAGTGAATGTCATATTCCAGTCATACTGCAAGTCTACATGCACGTACTGTTCTGTGCCAATAGAAAGGTAGATCTGGCTGATTGCTTCCAGTGCTTCTCCCTCCTGTTCTCTGTATCCGGTGTGTCTCAGCAGCTGGACTCGGTGCTGACTGTAGATTATCCACTGAACCTGGTTTGGAATCTTACACTCATACAGACGACACAGACATCGTGTTACACTGAGCTCGTCTGGCGAAGTGACAGAGAGAAAGAAGGACAGTTTTAACACAGAATATAAGATACTGCTGTGGTTATGTGACATTCATACTTACACTCTAACAAGTTAGCATTGATTGCCAGAAGCAGAGCCCACTCATAGCATCCTTTCCCATAGTCCAGCTGCTGTTGCTTCACATAATACTTTCCCAGCTCCATCAATACGGGGATAAAGTTTTCCACATTGCTTTCTTCACTGAGCTCAGAGAAAAGCTGAACTGCCTCAGACAGATGCCTCTCTGCTAGTGTTTTCGCTCCAGCCTTCAGACACAACAACCCTTTATGAAGATGAGAAAGAGTTATAACATAGTTGGAACGAAACATTTATGCGCAGTAGGATATTCTAGCTCACCTAGATTGGCCTGAGCTACGGCCCCGTTTGGCATATCTTCAAACTCTTGGCAGATGTCAATAGCAGCCTGGTAGCTCTCTGCTGCCCTCCGAACATCACCCATACATCGAAGTGCCACGCCCCGCATGTTGAGAACCACACCTTTGTATTGCATTAAAGAAATTTACTTTAACATTTAAGAAATGCCTGTTTGCTAAATCTTTATCCTACAGTACACTCCACATAGTTTTATTAATCAGTTGAAGGCCTGAGTCTTTCTAAAGGTGACCGCTTTCTTTAGTTAAAAGTTTCAGCTGTATGTAATATATATAACAAAATGAGTTAGTCAAGATCCCAGATACCAAAATAGTTATATGTGCAAAGCTGTGGTTAAACTCTGATGTAACTCTGAATGAAGATGTGGAAGAGAGGCAGAGGTTAATAATAACTAATCATTAAATGCTGAGTGATGCATGAGTGTGAAGCAGAAACACTCCTAAGCCAATTACTAAGGAAGGATTCAGGGTCACCTGGTCCAGTTCTAACTAAACAGAAGTACAAAGGGTGTCATTTTAGATTAACTTTTCAGGGAATTTTAGGACATTCTGATAATAATGAATTACAGTAGAGCAGTCTGGAAGTAATGAAAGCATGAACTAATTTATCAGCATCACTCTGAGACAGGATGTTTCTAACTTTAGAGATGTTGCACAAATGGAAGAAAGTTATACATATTTAATACATGAATTAACGGACAAATCCTGGTCGAAAATGACTCCAAAATTCTTACTGTTACTGGAGGCCAACGTGACAACATCCCAAGTAAGCATCTGGTTAGACATGTTTCAGATATTTTTAGTACAAAAACCTCAGTTTGATCTGAATTTTGAAGCAGGAAATTAGAGCTCGTCCAGGTCTTTATGTCTTTAGACATTCCTGAAGTTTAACTACTTGTTGTGTGTTATCTGCCTTTGAGGTAGACCTTGGTTCATAACTACATTTAAGAGTGTGAAACAGCAGATTACAACTTTGAAATATGAGCTGCAGTTTTTAAAACAAAGTATAGTTTGAAGACAAAATGAAAAAGCTAAACAGCTCAGCACACACAGCTTTGCTTATTCCAGTCTCTTAAGGTCAAATGACACATTTTAGAAATGAAAACTCAGGAAGAGACGGTCCATACAGATCTGGGATCAAGAATATAAAAAGCAAATAAAATATGATATCACTTCCTGTTTATCAGCTTTACAGTGAACTTGCTGTAAAGGACATATTTGTAGAAGCAAATCTTAAACTTTTGTGAGGCTCAGCCTGAAGGGCATCTGTGCAAATTTGGGTGAAAACTAAAAAACACTTTAAATTTTTAATGCGATTTATAGAAACCCCCTCACCTTCCTGAGGAGTTGTGCAGTGCTCTGGAATCGAAGCCAGGATTGATTCCAGTATGTCCAAAGCAACTGCAGGCTGACTGTTGTCAATGTAAAGCCACGCCAGCCAGATGAGAAAACCTTTTCTTTCTGAAACAGAGACGCAAACTTGCCTCGAAGGACTGTTGTTGATGAGAGCCTGCATATGGCAAATCGCATGTCCCGTCATCTTGTGTTTGCAATAGAGTTGGCAAAGACAAACAGTGAGCTGGTGGCTCAAAATTTGGTAATGGTTTCTCTCTCTACTTTGGAGCTTTGGAAAAGTGAGAGCTTTGTGCAAATATGGAGCCATCTGAGGTGGAACGGGGGTTTCTTGTTCAGCGACAGTGTCCAAAAGTAATACCATACTGCCAAGACAGTCAGAGAGCGTGGCAGAGGGCAGCAGAGAAGCTCTCCTGACTGAACTGGCACTGAGGTGGGGACGGTGAAGTTCACTGTAAAGCTTTCCCAGCGCCAGATATCCATGACTGGGAGAGATCCTCCATGGTCTTTGAGCTTCATCACAAAGAATGAGTAGCCTTTCCAGATAAGGAACAACTTGAGCTCCCATAGCAGAAGTCCAGTGGTGCTTTGCCAACAGCAGACAAGCCCGGGCTTCTGCCATTTTGTTGTGAGAGAGGATAGCTTTCTTGAGCATGTATTTAAGAGAAGAGTTGTCCTCTAAGCTTTTCAGACAATCTGGGATTCCTATTAGTAAGGCAACAAGTCGTTCTGTCACAGCAAAGAAACTTTCTGTATTTTTCTGCAAAAGATATGTTGCAGCAAGGTTGGAGAAGATGCTGGCCAACAGCCTGAGGTCTGTGAAGCCTTCTCTTGGGACACTGAGAGTTTCCTCAAAATAAACCTGGGCTTGATTGAACTTTGACCTACCCACACAGAGCTTCCCCAACAGGAAGCATAAACGAGTTTGTGACCAGAAAAGGTGTTTCTTCCTGGCTGTCTCCCTGGCAACACCCAGAAAGGAAATCAGTTCATCCTCATCACAGTGACCAGTGAAAGTGGAGGAGGCCAGTTTTTCAGAACTCAGTCCGTACAGAATGCCAAACTCTACTTTGTAGTCTCGGCCGTCCAAAAAAGATAAGAGTGGAATCAATGTGTTCTTGTTCCCTTCAACTGGTTGCACCACGAAAGAGGGAAGTTTGGGGCTTTTTGCCTCCGCAGCCAGGCCCGATTCCTCTAGAGTCTCCCTCTTGGTTACGGTGTAATGAGGGGTCGACTGTTTGTCTTGATCAAGAAACCTGTGAATGTTTGTCTTGAACTCTTTCTGTTCAGACTCAACTTTTCTTGAAAAGCTGGCTGCAAAAGAATAATGAGAGAGACAATAATGATGGCATGCACAGGAGGCCAGTTAGTAAAGAAATGCTAATGTCATACTTACGTGATGTTTTTTTCTCAGAATCCTGATAAGTGACCATATCTAAGATTGAACAACAGCCATTATGAGAAAGTGAATGTGTAAACAACAAAATCCTCAGTAACTGGTAAATAAATGCTCAGAAACAAAACTTGGTGCAAATTATATACACAAATGTACTTTATACTTGTCTTTGAACCTTTATTTATACAAAACGGTAGCGACAGAGAACTGCATGCATCCAAAACAAGCGAGAAGTTGGACTGTGGCCACAAAAGTCTTGAAATTCATAGACACAAAGAAATGCCATAAAATTATTATATGCACGGTGATCTAACTGGAATCTTTGCGCGCAATAGCCTATAAAGGCAAAAAGAGTGTAACTTTGTCACAGTAAAGCAAAGGACACCAGACACAGGTTTCTTTCATCTGTGACAACATGGCAACAGTTTTTGTATATTTAATCAAACACAACCATAACCACAGCAGTGGCAGTTTACAGTGATCTGAATTATTTTAGTCATGCTAGCAGCAAGATTTCACAGATGGCACAGATGTTAGCAGGCTGGTTGGTACGTAATGTTTTTAGACTTTTCCTCAAATGCCACCAACACGTCAAAAATTTACATTTAATAAGTAAGTAATCATTTGGAGGATTGCAATTTTTCATGTCCCTAATTCATATAACACCTCATTATGCTTGTAGATTTTGCCTCCATGAACTCATCAATGGAAGTTAAGCAATGCTGACAGCAGCACTTACAGGTCTTCGTGTTGGACTTGGATGGCGGTTCTTTGTCAGGTTTTTATTCTTGCCACAAACTTTGGCACACTAAACAACCTGTTGTTGGGCTGAGTTCATCTATTTGTGTCAAAATGTCTCAGACACAACCAATTGTAATATCTTATAACTTTCCTATCTTGCAATTTGGTGACCTAGATCTGCTCCATCGTTTAATACTTTTTTCTTCTCTTCCCATGTTACAGCTGCTCCTGGCTGGTCTTTTTTCCATAATCTTGCTGACATACAGACAAAATACTACTTGCACAGTCTTTATTATTAGTCATCCAACAATCACTAGCTAGCTTGCTAAACCAAAATATGGTATTTACAGCAAAGATTTTATTTAACTGGTATGTAAGCATTGGTACTATGAGCATCGGTAGGTATCAGTAAGCCGTTTTCCTTTTCCTTCTCACCTAGTTTGTAATTATGCCCAATATCATTATGAGATTTTTTCTTCAATATGGCAATGGATTGTTCGATGACTTTTTCCTCTTGCGGACTCGAGAAAATCCAATCCTCTTCATCTAAAAAAATCTCTGCAGAGCTGGAGTGGTGACAGAGAAGAAAACAGGTACACACTGTCATCATCTCAACCTAAAATGGTGTAATACAATATAACTGTATACTGTATCGGCTGTTACACTCACTCGTAAGCGTCAGTGGACGGTTTTACCAAGCTTGTCCTGACCAGACCTATTTCTCCTGTTGCTTCCTTCTTCCCCGTGAACCAATCAAAACAAGGCACCAAAAATCCCACAATCGTGATGGGATCACCAGGTGACACACTCAGCTCGTCCGGGCCCTCAGCATCATACTCCTTTTTAGCTAGACAGGTTCCTCTGGCTAAACAGAGGAGACACTGCATGAAGATAGTCCCAAACTGTGAGAGAGGTTTCTGTAGCAATAAGTATCTCTGAAAACTGGAAAATCAACTTTACTAATGCATATTTGCCCAAATGTAATCAATGGTATACGTGGCGTATGTGTGGCCAACTGTCACATCACCAAACCCAATACATACAAAGTGTTAAGCATGCCACCTGACTGCTTTGTGTAAAGCTGGGTAAAGGGGGGGGGGGAATTATTGTCTGGGGGTGCTCAGCATACCGAGACATTTTGGACAATTTCATGCTCCCAACTTTGTGGGAACAGTTTGCAGATGGCCGTTCCTGTTTCAAAATGACTGCACCAGTGCACAAAGCATGCTCCATAAATGGTGTGGAAGAACTTGACGGCCTGCACAGAGTCCTGACCTCCATCCAACAGAACACCTTTGGGATGAATTGGAGGCGATACAGTGAGCCAGGCTCTAGTTGTAGCCCTAGTCCTAGCACAGTGACCTCAAGGCTAGACTGGAAATGATTATATGAGATAAATGAAAGTAACTGAAGTTAACATAATGCAAACACTTACCAAAGTGCAGAGGGAAGTCACAGGTAGATTTCCCATCACCTATTAAAATGCTTTCTGCACAAGATTTGAGAAACCACCTGTGGACAGATGGGATTATCTGACCTCATTTACGGTGCTTCATGTTCACATCAAAGTTACTATGAGACTGCTTAAGGTCCACACGGGCCTTTATGTGGCTGTAACTCACTGATGGAAAGGGATGACTGGCTCCAGAGCAGGTCTAGGTGCAGTGCCCCGTGCTCCATCAGCCAGACAGAGAACAGTCCACCCTGAGCCTAGGAAGGGAGGCTCGAACTGGGCTATGTCTCCCTGCTCCAAGTACAGGTCTCCTCCAGAGGTTGAACTGTCAAACATCTGGCTGGCACTGCAACTGGCAAACAATGAACCTAACAACAAAGAGAGTGACCAGGCTAAGTTTACTTATATAATGACAGTAAAACAGCAACTCCGTACACATGTATTAAAAAAATAAAAAAACTGGGGGCAGCCCAGACCTCCTGGTGGCTGGGATACTCAGAGCCCTCCAGCTAGTCTGGAGGAACGCCTTCCCCAGCCAAGCTGGAGGTCATAAGGACATTAATGACATTAAAAATACAAAAAGCTCTTAGTGACATTATTGCACAAACTGACTGGCTCCTGCTGTTGTCTACATTCTGAGGGCTAGAAATGTCCAACAGAGAGGGAAAGAGAGAGAGAAAACATTTTGTCGTTGGAGCTTTGAGATCAGCTGACTAATATTCACTCACCTGCATTTATTGCTGAACATTAACTGTAAATAAACACACTGAGCTTGATCTTCCAAACTGGCCTCCTGAGCCCACCTGATCTCCTCAGCTATGACAGTACGATCTGGCCATAAATTAAATAAGCAGACCCATGACTAAATTGCCCCCCCCCCAAAAAAAAGCAATATCATGGGTTCCTATACTGTTTGGTATAGGAATGATACAGGTGTGGCTGGTCCTTTAAATAAATGGACCTCAGTCAGGCTGCTTGTGAAATTATTTCTCAGAACAAGTTTATATCAGTCCTTTAAATTCACTACACAACATGGCATTTGAGTGGGAGGATTTGTGTTTTCTCAATGCCTGCATATAAAATGATGTTGCGTTTGGTGTGAATTGGAATTATCAGCATATAAACATATGTAACTCATTTAAATAGTTAACTTATCCTTTCACTCATCTAAGATTTTACCAGGTAAATGCACACCTTTGTTACTAATTTACAGTTTCCTGATCTCATGTCTAATCACCTTCTAAAATGATATTTTAGTGCCAACCTTCTTGTAGGAGGATGCCTCTGTAGAAAAGGTTAAGTGTTTCCTCCTGAATGGTCACCTCAATAGCAAAGTCATCCTTCAAAGAACTGAGCCAGAACGTCTGCTCTAGCAGTAGGTTCTCCATGCAATGGCGCAGGAAACCTGGAGGAGAGGAGGATGTTCACAGAAGGCAGTGTGAGGTATTTGGATAAGATGTACCACAAAACATGACATTTTACACTGTGTCATTATTTATTAACAAGAACTAAGACAAAATGCCAGAGCAGTGTGGAACAACCAAATACACTCCACTAATCCAACACCTTTAGCAACAATAACTTGAAGTTTATGTATTAATTTAAAAGGAGGACTTTTATCCTCATCTCTACAACATCTACATCATCTTTTGTCTGTTTATTGAGGTTAACAGGCGTTTGTTTATGTCCAGCTCTCTTAACTTCTTGTCACAGTATTTTAGTTGGATTGAGGTTTGGATTTGACTGGGCCAGTACAACACCTCGTTTTTTTCCTTCTTCAGTCATTCTGTTGTAGATTTGCTGGTGTTCTTGGGCTCACTGTCCAAGCTATAGCCTCCAAACAGAGTCCCTCACACTCGACTCCACACAGAACATAGTCTGTCTCCAGTTATACAACTTCAATTGTCATTAGCAGTGTTGGTCAAGTTACTTGAAAAAAGTAACCAGTAACTAATTACTGATTACTTCCCCCAAAAAGTAATCCCGTTATTTTACTGATTACATATTTTCAAAAGTAATTAATTACTTAGTTACTTTTATGAACAAGATTTAAAACCTGAAGAGGTGATAAAGCGATAGATCTCTCAGCTCAATTCTACTTTTTCTTTCCAAGCTCCTTAGATGACATCACATATACTTCCACCTGGTTCTAATATAATGCTTTGCTACTCTTCTGAGCGCTTCACACAACTCTGTGCATTCACCCAATCACACCAGCACATTTTCTGTTTTCTAACATTCACACTCTGATGGATGCATCGGAGAGCAATTTGGTATTAGTATCTTGCCCAAGGCATGCAGACTAGGAGAAGCCAGGAATCGAACCGCCAACCTTCCGATCAGTAGATGACCTGCTCTACCTTCTGAGCTACAGGTGTAGCTACAGGTACAGCTCAGGCGGAGCCACGCTACAGTGTACTCCATACCTATTCTGTAATATGTGGTGAACTTCCATATGTCTTCAAACGTTGTGAACATCACATAAATGGCTTTTCTTTCACTGTTGATGGAGATGAGATGGGCGGACAGCTCCTGAAGAAAACAGAAAACAGTGTTGATACTGAAGTTTCTTAACTGTCCATCTGATCCAATTATCATTTGATGCTCACATTTAACAAACTGACACATAATGAATGTCATTTAAACATCAAACTGAAGGTTTTGACAGCCACTTTTCATGTCTCAGTAAAACGCATTTTACAGTTTTACAGCAGTTACAGGAAGTACAGCAGAAAAATGAGCTGTGGCAGCACAACAAGAAGAGAAGAGTTAATATTTAACTGAAACGTGGTCCAATAATGTTTCACAGCTCCAGCCATAAAAACTCTAAAGACCACCACTTTCCAGATGTTTTTGAAGTATGAGACAGAGAGTGAGCAACACCACATGAAGATAAGCAAACTTCAGAATAAGTATTTAAAAATAAACAAAACCAGCAGAAAACATATATGATGATGATCTGCCCAAAACGTGTCTCGAATAATTCAAACAGTGGCAGGTTGCTCACTGACCACAATCACATGGCTGCCAGTGCACACAAATGACATCAAAACACAACACAGTGAAAAGAACACAAATGTCTGTTTTCTGTGGAGGTCCATAACACTCACTCACTCTTCTCTCAACCAACCTTTGTTTTCACCGGGGCGCTGCGACACAGAGCCTAGGATCACTGTAGTGACCCTAATATCACGGCAGAGCTGTCAGGAAGTGTTTGAACTTTTTCAATTAAAATGGATGAGGAGTTACAGATGTTTAAAAGATGTTGTGAAACATCTGTCTGACACCAGTGACAGGGTACGCTTTAGAGGGTTCAACTCCTGATCAGTTTGTCTGAAACCTCCTCACATGGCCACTCTCAGCTTTTCCTCCTCAATCGCCACTTAAATGAAAAATCATTTTTTACATTTGTATCACAAACACATGCTTTATAGAATACGAGGCTGCACAATGAGCAGAATATAAAGTATTTAAAATGAGTTCAATATTAATCTATTTAACAGCAATGGGGACAATTTTCTGCTGAATAATTATTTTTACTTTTGATAAACAGTTATTTATTTGTAAAAAATGTTTGGAATCATGTCTGATTTTCGTTCCACTTCTCACGTGTGCACCACTTTGTGTTGGTCTTTCACCTGGAATTCCAATAAAATTGATTCATGTTTGTGGCTGTAATGTGACAAAATGTGGCCGGATACTTCTGAAAGCCACTGTATTAAAGAAATATGAAGATGGACAAATATGTTAGCACAAGTCTGTGGGCTTACATTGTAATAAACAGATGAGTAAAATTACAGAAAAAGCTATGTTAGCTCATTGAATGACGGTGGTGGTGGGGGGTGGGGGGGGGGGGTTATGAATAGGAAAAGCCATAAATCTACAGAAAATATAGTTTCAATACCAAAAATGTTTGCCCCCTTTCATATTTAACAAAACCGTCTCTCTCTTTGCAGGCCGATTGTGGCCCCTGAAGTAAAAACAGCTGTTATACTATACTATACATACTGCAGTGCTGCTGGCATTTCAGATGGAGTTAATAAAGTACTGTACGAACATATGTTTAAATGTGAAAGCTTTAATCTAAAGCACTTTAGGTGGTCAGTAAGAATATTCCCTCTGAAACATGAACGGTGTGGGTGTCAAGCATGCACAGGCATCACTGGCAGACCGTCTCCGGCCATTTCCATGGAATTCCCACAGAATCCTGGAGCTGAGCTCGCAAAGTGTCGGCGGCCTCAAAAGCCAATCCCTGCTGAATTCTACACTGGGAACTGTTGCAGCCACACATCACTTGATTAGGATAAAATGTTTCACCACAGAATATCAGTAGTGAGGTTTTGGGGCTCACTGAAACCTCAGGGGTAGAGTTTCAACCTAAACTAAAGGAGCGACCCCCTCAGGTAAAATTCAACATTTCATAACCTCTTTGACCAAAAGGTTTATCAGTTGGCAGCTCCTTAGAGACAAAGTACTGCCACCCCTGCTGCTACGTCAAGCCGTACATTCCACACTCCACGAGGAAGGAAACAGAAATCAACTTAGGAACAGTGCCTACCATGAGGCTCATGGAGATCCATGAGCACTTCAGGTACTCGTTCACTGCTCCCTCCTCCCCCCAAAAAGTACAAAGAAGACATTTTTTCTCCACACTGTAAGCTGTGTAATGGCCAACAATGTTCAGCACCTTATAGCTTCTGTGATGGGCAGGCCAGAAGACGGTTGCCTTCCTGGGATACTTCACTCACTTTTAAGTTTTCAATACACAAAAAACAAACTAAGGAGAAGATATTTATTGCATTGTTATCAATTCATGGAGGAACTTTGTGTTGGAGCACATATATAATGGACTAAAATACTCAATAGAAGGCTTTTGTGTGTGTCTGTGTGTTATGAGTCAGGAGTTATACCTTAAATAGGGTATTGACCTCGGAGCTGTCAGCCTCCAGCATGCACAGTTTCCCTCGCAGCATTTCCTGTGACTTTTCATCTGCAGGAAGATGGTCTGGACCCCTGACCACATCCAGCAGTACAGGAAGAGCTAAACACACAACACACACTTAATATAGACGTGACAGACAAGACTATGAGTGAATCAACTCTAATGTGCTGATTTCATAGCTTTCCTGTCCTGACTGGACAACACAGATTATAATGAAAATGAAATCAGCTAAAAAAATGTATCTGTTGACCAATTATTTCATATTTTATTAAATGAGTTTATGCCTCCTTGAATTTACATATATGGCTGTGTGGTGTCTATTAAAGATATAACCATACAACATGTTTTCAACCATGCATAAAAACAAGAGTAAACGGCACAGAATGAATAATTAGGAAAATACAGTGTTATAAATGAAAGTCATTAATAATCTCCATATTCAAGATGGTGCAGCTGATAGCAGCCTGAATACTGCTCAGTGCTACTTTTCCTGCTTGTGTTTATCTGTTCAGTTTTCAGCTCTTCCTTCCTGTTCACACACACATCAACAAAGTAATCAGGTTGTTTTGTTTGTTTTTAAATAAAACTTTACCCTGTCTTTCATCCATCTGGAGAATTCTGCAAAACTATTAGTTGGAGCAGCTCTCAACAGGATTAGGAGATTTTGGCTGATGAGAAACTTAAACTCATTCCGATCGTACATTGGCCGGTCCATGCTTCTTTCATTTCACCCAGCGGATGTTCAGCCCTGTGCCTCAATGATATCTGGCTGGGTGAACATGTCCCCAACAGCTCACTATATCTACCAGGCTTTCAACTGCAATACAGAGCTTTCTCGAAAAGCGAAGGGAGGCGCAATCATTTCCATATAAACTGTTTCTATATAGGCTTCAACCTACAAATAGGATTCCGGCCAAATTCCAAAACTGAACCCAAGGAGATCTCATAAAATGAGTGCTCTTGGTTACCTTTGATCTGGTATGGCCAAAACCTCTATTAAGCCTCTATAACAATAGAAGATCAATAGAAGATCAACTCACATGGGTTAAAATACAAACTGCCAGTGAGTTCACTGTAAATAAAATCATCCAATGATGAGCTAATGATGAAACTGAGTGTCTCTCTCACAGTTTAATAAGTGACTGAAGAGGAACTTGTGGGTTCAAGGTATAAACCACTTTAAAATGTTTCATAATTTTCTACTGAGGTCACTTCAGTTTTACAGGTTAGATTATTTCCTGTAATACTCCAGGATCAAAGTACCACTAAAAGCAATATGATTTGTTAGGGTGATTTGTCTTCCTCCTAAAATGTTTTATCATGCATTAAAAAAAACACTGACTCCTAACTCATCTAAAATAGACTTCATGAGACCATAGCGTGTTCTGACATGATAACCCTTGCAATCCCAGCAACTGACAATGGTTCAAAGAACTTCTATAAACATCACTATTTTTGGTGTGCAACTTTCTCCAGACTGACAGCAAAACAACTAGTAGCTCAGTGTTCAAACATTCAGAAGAAGGAATTGCTCTCACAGCTAGAGATTGACAAGGTACATAATAGGATCATGGGGAAACTTGAAACCTGGACCCTCTGTAGCCGCTTACCAAGATCAGAACACCATGGCAGCAGTGATCAGTGAGATGACTATAAGATGAACAGCCACAAGGAGCAGTACCCACCATGGAGAAAGAGACTAGAGGCCAAGACCAAGGTAGCACAACTAATGGAGTTGCAGAAAGGTGCCTAAGAAGCACAGAAAGCTGTCTATGCCTGAGGCCTTGAAGACACCCAGGCAAAGACTACCAGCCTTGGACAGCTGCTTGAAGAGGTATACACAGAGAAGTAGAAGGCAGGAAAATAAACCATCTATTCTGCACAGAACCATCCAAGGTGTACTCTCAGTAGGGAACAATATGAGAACAGCACCACCAAGGCTGGAGACAGAGCAGCACTGGAAAAGCATATGGGAGAAGGATGCAAACCATAATAACAATGCTCAGTGGCTAGTGGATCTAAGAGCAGACCACAGCAACCTCCTTGAACAGGATCCAGTAACCATCATAGTGGCAGATATCCAGCTGGTAGTCAATGAGAGACACCCAGAATGGCTAACCAAAGGTCCAAGATTCCTGATCCCCAGGGAACTCCAGAAATAACTGGTCCCATCCAACTACCGGCCACTAACCTGCCTCAGTATCACGTGGAAGTTCCTGTCAGGCAGGTTAAGAAAAACAGGCACATGGCTCAATACGTAAGCAGGGAAGAGAAACGAATTGGCAGGAATACCAGAGAACCGAAACACCAGGTACTGATAGACAGAGCAAGACTGTAAGACTAGGCTGACCAACCTGTGCACTGCCTGGATTGATTACAAGAAGGCTCATGACTCAATGGCCCACACCTGGATACTGGAATGCCTAGAATTGTCCAAGAATAACAGGACCTTAAAAGCCTTCATCAGGAAGTCGATGGGGATGGACATTAGAGACCAACTTCAAGCCCATCGCACAGGATCTATCAAGGAGATGCCCTGTCCCCACTACTGTTCTGGATTGGCCTGAACCCCCTCAGTGAGATCATTGAAAAGAGTGGCTATGGTTACCGACTATGGAATGGAACAATCCTGTACATGGACATCAAGCTGTATGCCAAGAGTGAACGAGACATCGATCACACGAGTACCTCAGGAAGATGGCCATGGACAGCTGCATGCTCAGTGAATGCCTCAAGCAGCAGAAACCCAATAAAGAGGAGCAAAAGGAGGTACCATCGTGAAAGGACAGGCCCCTGCACGGTATGTAGCACCGGCAGATAAAGGAAGTGGCTGACATCCGAAATCCTACCAGTGGCTGGACAAAGCTGGACTGAAAGACAGCACAGAGGCACTAATCATGGCAGCACAAGAACAAGCTCTGAGTACAAGATCCATAGAGGCTGGGGTCTATCACACCAGGCAAGACCCCAGGTGCAGGCTGTGTAAAGATGCTCTGAGATAATACATCACATAACAGCAGGGTGCAAGACGCACAGAAACAGAAACATGTGTGCCGAATAAGGCCTGGTAGTCTCAAGGTCAAATCGGGACAGTAGGGTGGTCGAGAATGGCCGAGGTAAGATCCTGTGGGACTTCCAGATACAGACGGCCAAAATGGTGGCTAAACAACTGGACATAGTAGTGGTAGACAAACAGAAGAAGACAGCTGTAGTGATAGACGCAGTGATACCAAATGACAAAAAAATCAGGAAGAAGGAACACAAGAAGCTGGAGAAGTACCAAGGGCTCAGAGAAGAGCTCGAGAAGATGTGGAGGGTGAAGGTAAACATGGACCCAGTGGTAATCGAAGCACTAGGTGTAGTGACCCCCAAGCTAGGCGAGTGGCTCAAGAAAATCCCAGGAACAACATCGGAGATATCTGTCCAGAAGAGTGCAGTCCTAGGAAGAGCTAAGAAACTGCGCTGGACCCTCAAACTCCCAGGGCTCTGTAAGAGGACGCGAGCTTGAAGGATAAAATGTCCCCTGCAGGGGTGAGCAGGGAATTTTGTATATAGTCAGCCACTGTTTACCTATTAGCAATGTGACTGTGCATCAAGGTTTTACCAGGACCTTTACCAAGGCTGTCTAGCCTCTAGTACCTGTTATTGGCTATTTTGTAATGACCATATGAGCTACACCTGACCCAGAGAGGCATTCTCAGCTCCAAATCTCAGAGTTTGCTGAATGAAACAATAGATAGGTGAGCCTTACTCCCAAGTGGAATTCTTACAGGAGGGGAAAACGTCATTGACAATGCAGTGATGATGTGATATTAAAAAAAAGCCATTAACGTGTGAGTTATTCTAGTAGTTCTTAAGAAGATAGAATACCTACTAACCAGTATAAGAATAGTAAACTACTCTGATTCAGCTCTACTTTGATCACATCATAGATAAGCAACTTCATCACTGATACAGCATATTCGCGTTCACTAACACTCACGTTTACTTGTAGTGTTAACCAATCATCTGTCAAGAAAGTACTTACTGTAACTTGACTTGCATCATAACACTGAAAATTGTGGGGAAAAAACGTGTGATAGTTGTGATAGTCTCTAGTAACGCTCTTGAAATGTGGAATTTCCAAGTATTTCAATGAATGTTCATAATTCAATCACCAACTTTATATATTATATATATAATTAGTTAAAGATGGTTTGACAGCATTAAATTGGAATTGATAAACTCACCTACTGGGAAGTTTTCCTCATACGCTGACAGAGTTCCCTTCAGACTCACAGCATCTCCAGACAAACCATGCACTGCTAAAAACATAAAGTGTTATGTGTTTTTACATTTTACCATTATACAATCATTTGTTAATAACCTGTGAAAGATAAAGCATAATTATAGATGTGCAAATGATATCTAAAATACAGAAGACCTTTACAGTTGGATTTATCTGATTATTTGTTCAGTCACGCAAAATTAATTTGTTAAACTTCATATTTAACTAACAATATTCAATGAACAATTGAAGTTGTTTGCTCAAAGTAATTAAATGTTTAGCTATCGAATAATATTGTGAAATAGCAAACAACTGTTTATTTAATAAAATGCTTGAAGTTTGCATAATAAGTCTCAAAATAACTGAATACAACTAAATACAATACTCAATTACTAAATTACTCTACAAATATCCAGTGACTCTTTGCAATAATACATCTGAGAGGGGATTCATATTTTTATTAGTTGCTATGGTTAGGACTTTTGCACACAACATGTTTAAAATGTGGTGTTTTGTTCTACATGTAGCTACCTAACAGTTCATTCCTGCACATGAAACATTAGTTGAATAATCAACTAGCCAACAGCACCACTCTTTTAGCACAATTTAAACCATTTTTGGTGGGAAAAGTAATCAGCGAAAATAACCACTGAATGCAGTTGGACACAAAATGTCTGTGTAGGTTCTCAGTCATCCAGGTTCTGGTTGTCTAAAGAGGAAGGGAAAGCGACTGGACTTCTTTAAGCTTCCTGAAGAAATGGTGAAGATGTATTTAAATGGAACAACACTGTCATTCCTTATGTAGCAGGTAGAAACTCATCAAACCTCTGCTTGTAATGACCCACAGCCTTTTTCACACCTTGGCTCGTGTGACGAGGCACATGACCAGTAGTGAGTCAACACCCTCAGGGACAACTCCCACTAGGGCTTAAATACCTGGGCTCTGCCATTTATTGTTGGAACTGAAGATGCTTCTGGGATGAGAGGTTGAAGCTTCATGTGACTGGACGTCTTTAGGAAACTTAAACAAGTCCAGTCGCTTTGCTTTCCAAGCTCGTTGGATTGGACACAAAATCCTTAAAAATAAAAGTACCTAAACCAACAGTAAAATCCTGCTTTTATATGTTAATGTGTGACTTATTGCAATTTCATGATCTCATGTACAATCAGCTACAGCAGGAAATTTTCTTATTAGAACGCTACTTTTACTTCTAAATGTAATTTTTTTAGTGACAAAGAGTATCTGAACTTAACTTTAACAAAGAACTTTTAACAGAACACGATGTTAGACACATATTTTTACGTAAGTCACACAGTCAGCTGCTTTACAACAGATAATTTGCTTATATAAACAGAAAACAGCAAAACAAAATTTGTCTTTAAGTTTCAGGCTTTCACACAATTACTGTGAAAAAACAATATAAAACGCATCTGCTAATTTGTAGTGAACAGCAGCATGAGAAGGATCTGTCTCATTACCCATTCCGCTCGGCCGGTGTAGTATCTCCGTCATATGCCGGTACTGCTGGACGTCAGTGGAAAGCTGTCTCCGGTACTTGTGGCTCCAAGAATCCCGCTCCGACCGGGCTGACATTTCCAAGGCAGCTGCGCAACGTCCTCTGCGACCAGTCAGCAGCACAGCATCACATGCCTGTGCACGATGCACCTGGTAAACTCCCAGTGAGGGACACGGAGGTCTGCCTCGCTTTTCCTTTTCAAAGTAAAAGTCTTCAAAAGTTTGACTTAGTGAGCCTGTAGGTCAATACGAACGAGTCCGAATTAACATACTATTACTACTACTAATAAATATAAATCAATATAAATAAATACTACTAATAAATAAATCCTTCTGATTTTACTGTAGAATTAGGTGCAAATGTTTTTTGTGTATGTGTTTGTGGTGCGTTTTATGGGTAATACAATATGTTGACCTTGGTGTAAGCAAAGAGGGAGATCTTTGTTTCATTGTTTGCTTACTTCCCTTTTCTCATATTGTTGTTATTTACATTTATAAATATATCACAAAATCTTTTTTCACTTAATGTCATATATAACCTAATTAACGGTATATTACATTATTACATTTTTCAATCAACATTTAACAGAGTATACTGATTATACCGAAGCAACTTTTATTATGACGTTAAATGTGGATTATTTCCTGTGTTGGTTCGGTGAGCTCTACACTGACGTACATAGTGAAAAGCTGTCGCTTTATTTCAGTTTTTCTTTTATTATAAATGCTGCCACTTGTTTATCTGCACACCAATAACCAGAACAATTCAGTTACGTGTCTGTGCTTGAACATGGAAAGGTTGCACAGTTTTTCCTTAAAATTAAATTGCGTAGACTTCACGTTAATAATCACCCAGTGAGCAGCTGAGTCACATGATATTATTAAATCACTCTTTGCTTTGTCCCCTACCTCTACCCCAAAGCATTTTTTGGAGATGAACACATTTATTCCAAACATTTTCCATCAACTTTTTCTCTCTGTTTGCTTGCACGTGGGTTTGACTTGAGTTTTTTTCCTCGTCAACATCCCAGGAAAAGACTCAGCACTTCCTGTCCTCCAGTCAGTTCCTCTGTCAGCTCAGAATTGCAGCCAACTAGCAGCAGTGTTGTAGAAACACAAGAACTGTCACAGTCATGAAATCAGACACATAAAGTGATACACATTCTGCAAGTCTTGCAAATGTACTGCCATAAAATACTTCAGTTCTTTTTATTGTACTCACTAGTAGTCAGATAAAGCACTATGTCAGCAACATGCGACCCTTAAATTCTCTTTTATGGTAAACTGACTAGTTGTTACTCTGCTCAAGCACTCAAAGCACCTTATGCAGCTAGTTTCATTCATGCACCAGCAAACTGTCAAAGTGCTGTCTAACATTCATGCTACAATGAATGCAACACATCTGCAGCAACCTGGGTTGAGTATCTTGCCTGGAACTGACCCACCAACCTTCCACTTAGCAGATGAGCTGCTCTGCCTCCTGAGCCACAGCTACCTCACAGACAGTTGGACAGATTTTGACTGGTATTTCTTTATTAAATGCCAATTAAAACAAGAATGAGTTAAAAATGACAGCAACATGATACGTGAATAAAATTAAAGGTGACCACAGAACACGCTTAGTTACAGTTGTGGTCAAAAGTTTACATACACTTGTAAAGAATATAATATAATGGCTCTATCGAGTGTCCCGTTATTTCTAAAACTCTGATTTTTCTCTGATAGAGTGATTGGAACAGATACTTTGTCACAAAAAACATTCATGAAGTTTGGTTCTTTTATGACTTTATTATGGGTTAACAGAAAAAAGTGATCACATCTGCTGGGTCAAAATTATACATACAGCAGTGCTAATATTTGGTTACATGTCCCTTAGCCATTTTCACTTCAATTAGGCGCTTTTGGTAGCCATCCACAAGCTTCTGGTTGAATCTTTGACCACTCCTCTTGACAGAATTGGTGCAGTTCGGTTAAATGTGATGGCTTTCTGACATGGACTTGTTTCTTCAGCATTGTCCACATGTTTTCAATGGGGTTTAAGTCAGGACTTTGGGAAGGGCATTCTAAAACCCTTATTCTAGCCTGATTTAGCCATTCCTTTACCACTTCTGATGTGTGTTTGGGGTCATTGTCCTGTTGGAACAACCAGACCCAACCTTCGTGCTAAAGGTTTTAGGTTATGTTGAAGAGTTTGAAGGTAATCCTCCTTCTTCATTATCCCATTTACTCTCTGTAAAGCACCAGTTCCATTGGCAGCAAAACAGCCCCACAGCATAATACTCCCACCACCATGCTTGATTGTAGGCATGGTGTTCTTGGGGTTAAAGGCCTCACCGTTTCTCCATCAAATATATTGCTGGGCGTTGTGGCCAAAAAGCTCGATTTTTGTTTAGTTTCGTTTGAGGTGAGATCTAAAACCCTCGAGGCCTGGAATTGCCCACCCCTGCTCCAGAAGGTCTTATCTTTGTCCATGTGATCAGCAGCAAACTTCAGTCGAGCCTTAAGGTGCCACTTTTGGAGTGAGGGCTTCCTTCTTGCACGGCAGCCTCTCAGTCCATGGAGACGCAAAACACATTTAACTGTGGAAAATGACACCTGTGTTCCAGCAGCTTCTAATACTTGGCAGATCTGCCTTTTGGTGATTCTTGGTTGACTCTTTACCCCCCTGACCAATTTTCTCTCAGCAGCAGGTGATAGCTTGCATTTTCCTCCTGATCTTGGCAGTGTCGAAACAGTGCCACGCACTTTATACTTACAAACAATTGTTTGCACTGTTGTTCTTGGGACATGCAGCTGCTTTGAAATGGCCCCAAGTGACTTTCCTGACTTGTTCAAGTCGATAGTTCACTTTTTCAGATCCATGCTGAGCTGCCTTGACTTTCCCATTGTAGCGTTTGTGGGCGTTTGTATCCAGTGAGCCCTATTTAACTGGCCTAGGAGAAGTCACCAGCTGTAGTCACTCATAATCACTCACAAGAAGTTAAGAGGCCACGCTATGAAGCTCAGTTCACTGATAACTTTCTAAGTCACCAAAATTTCTAATTCATGTTGCTGTATGTATAATTTTGACCCAGCAGATGGGATCACTTTTTTCTGTTAACCCATAGTAAAGTCGTAAAAGAACCAAACTTCATGAATGTTTTTGTGACAAAGTATCTGTTCCAATCACTATCAGAGAAAAATCAGAGTTTTAGAAATAACGGGACCCTCGGTAGAGCCATTATATTATATTCTTTACGTATGTAAACTTTTGACCACAACTGTAAATATGAACTTTTCAGTAAATTGAAACCACAGCTAAAGTGACTCCATAATGACAAATGAACAAAAATAACTTACAAAATAGTTTTTTTAAAGAATGACAACAAAAAGACAGCCTGGATATGCGCTGGATTGTCTCAGTGGCGTCTTTGCACAGCCTGCACCCGGGGTCTTGCCTGGTGTGATAGACCTCAGCCTCTATGGTTTCCTTATCCTCACTCTCTCACCTGGTAGAAAGTTCTGCATGATTCTTATGATCAGCGTCATGCTGCATTTTAAACTGACATTTCTTCACTGAGTGACGTGCAAAGTCATCCAGTGGAGACACCGTAGAAGGCAAAGGGAGGATGTCCAGTTTAGTACACATCTTCCTGCCAGACAGGAGTTCATACGGAGGACGCGATAAAACCGTTCAATTGGTCAGTTTGCAGCTGGGTAGTAGACAGATGTTCTGCTGATGTTCTGGCTACCAGGTGTTATATTTGACATCCCTGGTCTGTATACTGCACATACTGCAAGGTAGGTCTGGGGACCTGTACGTGCTTGACCATGAATCTCACAGCAGAAAACTCATTCTCAATACTCATCTACATTCACTCCTCACTTCAATCTGACAACTCATCAAAGCAGTTTGTACTTTTGTCACACACAGCTCCAGATTGCTCACTTTCCTGAATACTATCCAGCACTGCATTAATGTTTACAATCAAATTACTTCCACATTTTTTGAAGTATGTACGTAAGAGTGAATACAGTAACTCGCTGTCAGAGGTTTACTTGCAACAAATATAAATACATATTTTCAGTCTTGTGTCACAGCTGCTCATCCAAATTTCTCTTTCAAGTACATCCCAGGGACTACTGGAAACAGATCTGATGACTGAGCAGGCCATTGGAGTACAGTGTTGTCTATTATTGGTGAGTCAGCCAATAACTTCTTACAAGGAAAACATTCTGCAATTATTTGGAAGAACAGATCAAGTTGTTTTTTGAGATGAATGACAAAGACGATGTATCACCTCTATTATTGTGGGAGACGTTTAAAGCATATGTGAGAGGCTGTGTAAACGTAATAACATGGAACGCATGGTTCAAATACAAAAATTGGACTCTGTGAATGCCAGACAACCGTCTGTACAGCTACATAGTAAAATATCAGCTCTGAAGTATAAACTCAATAACTTGCTCTCAGATAAAATTTCCAGGGCCTTCATGTATGTTAAGCAGACCTATTTTGAATTTGGTGATAAGCCACATAAATTACTGGCCAATCATCTAAGGAAGAGAAAAAGTGATAGGGCCATTCATGCAGTCAGGTCAGACTCAGGGTTGTTGACCAATTCTTATAAGGATATTAATACTGCTTTTAGACAGTTGTATGAACATATACATCTCCGTGTAATGCAACCCCTGTGATTATGTGGATTTACTAAGCAAATGCAACTTGCCTACATTAGCACAAAAGGACAGGACATCTCCAGATGCAGACTTAACATGTCCAGAATTGATTAATACCATACGCTCCCTGAAAAACGGGCAGAGCCCAGGACCTGATGGTCTATGTAATGAGTTTTATAAAAAGCAGTTTACTAACCCCATATTTGCTGAAAATGTTTAATATGGCCTTGGAAGATGGTGCACTCCCACAGACCCTGAATGAAGCAACTGTGGCTCTCATTCCAAAGACAGGAAAAGACCCAGAATTGGTGAGTTCTTACTGACCAATCTCTTTATTGAACACAGATCAGAAAATACTGGCCAAATCTTTAGCCAGGAGACTTAGTTCCAACATAGGTGAACTGGTTCACCCAGATCAAAGAGGGTTTATCCCAATAAGGCATGCATCTTATAACCC